TCTGTTGGTGCTAAAGATCGGTAGCAGTTTCGGTAGACAAGCTCGAACGTATGTGGTCCACATTCCCCTCAGCTCAACATTGGCGTGTCATTCTCGGACGCTCGCTAGTCTCACCCTCCGACGGTCTTTCGCGCGTAGTCAGTTTTCACTTCATCGCCAGGCTCAGCCAAATCACTGTGATACTAGTGGCTCGCCATTGCAGTGGGCGTGCAGGGCACATCTTTCTGCAGTGACCGAGGCGTTTGATCGACGAGGCGTGCGCTGCTGACACCCATCACTAACTGCAGAGCTGATTCGAGCATGGCTTTCCAGGGGGGTGGGGGGATAGGTTGTCACGAGGAATCCTTTTTTTCCTGCCAATTGATGAAAGAAATGCCAAAAATGGCCTCTCGTTCCTTTTCTGCATGTCGATATTTGACTGTCGCATCTCATCCCGAAGGGAAAAAAATTACCTCTCACCTATGCCATTGGTTGGGCACTCATCTCTGTCCCTGTGCATTGCGCGTCACTTTTGTGGTTGCTGGTGGTGCTATGTGCCGTGCTCCGTTGTGTCCGTCAGCTGAAGGGGGGGTGAGATCGTGTCGAAGAGCTACAGTGTTTGAGCTAAATAGTAGTGATGAAGATGCCACATTTCTTCCTCAAGACGGCGTCCTAGCCACCTGCCTACCTCGGTGACCACCTACCTGAGGTACATAGGCACCTAGATACCTACCTATGCTGATTGCAGCCAGGCAGGCACCCCAGCCAGGGGAGGTACGGTGCTGAGGGAAAGTAAAGTGCAGACGACTCATCGTCAGTTGCCCCTCACCCTCCCACCCCCTCCCTCTTCCCTTGGATTCCTACTCCACAGTGAGATGCCAACAGGAGGTACCTTCCCCTCGAATCCCTATCCATCGCTCGGATTGGCAGGTCCCGCTGGTACAGAGTTTGGATCACCATCGTCACTTCCCCCAGTTTACACTGCTTTCTGGTGTATCAGACACCTCTCCATGTGGTCATTCAGAGACAGGGAAATCGGGTACTCTGGCCGGTGTCAGTGTAAATCGAGCCGGTGCACTATTCTCAGCAGCACTAAGGACACTAAGACGTCCAGGTCCCGCTGCCGTTCCCCATTTCACCCCTCAAGCCTCAGAGCCCCCCGCCCAATCTCCTCCACCGCTACCAGAAGGCTCCGTTCCCGATCCTGAGGACCCACGAGCTGGAGAAGCTCATGCCTTCGCTTCTCTTTCCCAACAATGATTTACGCCTGCCTCACTGGCAGGCATAGCTAGGCACTGGCCTGACCTCATTGACCTCCCTCTGTCTCTTGCCCTTGTCTCCCTCGTCTTGTCTGCCTACTTACCTCGCCTACCTTACCCTGTCTTGCTTAGCATCTTGACCATCATCTCTTCCCTCTCTTTCCGCCTTTCCCTCTTTCACGATCACTTCTTGTCCTCGATAATCTCCTGTGCTCCATCCCACAGCTTCTTGCGTCTACCTTTCGTCCCACATGCGAGGCACACCACCCCTGTGTCCCTGCGGGCTGAAGCTTGACAACTGCTTTCTCCCCTGAAATACAGCTGTCCTGTCCCTCGAGCTCCTCCCCTCCGTCGTCACCTTGCCTGGACCACCGTCTTGACACGAATTCCTCCCTCCTCGATTCTACCGACGATCTGCCTACAAACGAGCTCTGAACCTCATAGCTTGGCCGATCCCTTACACGTTCCGAAAGAGCAACGTCAATGCCAACCCACCATTTCACCTGCTGAGCCGCACCATTCCCTACAGAGTACGCGCATCGCCATCCTCGAGCCTCCACTGTCTTGGCGCAGCACATCCGCCCCCCCCAGCGCCTTGTACCGCTACAATTTACAGAACCCACGCCCCCTGAATACGGTAGCGGTACTGCCCCCGAAGCCTGGCCCCGATCACCTACGTCACCCCCCGCCTCGGCCCGTCCGGCGTGACACGTCTGTTGCGTATGCTTTTGCATTGGCATTGACAAGTCGTCTGGCACCCAAACCCCGTCTCGGTCCATACGCGGTTTACCTCGCCTGCAACCTACGAGTCGCCCGTCCCACGCACCCGTTCACAGCCCACACCCACAACCCACCTCGTAGCCTGCAGCACCGCAGCCTGGGTGTGCTGGGCTTAGCCACCCGTTTCCCTCACGGCATTGGTTCGCTGTCGACTCTGGGAGCCCTTATTGTAGGGGTTCCCCCTCCCCTCGTCGCCCGACATGGTTCGCATTATCCCGACACGTCTAAAGTCCGCTTCCTCCCTCAACAACAGCCGCAGCAACAGTCCTAGGCGGTCCAACAGCAACAGCAACTCCGTCTCCAACACGGCCAATACCTCCAGCATCAACAACAACAACCACAACAACCACAACGGCACTGGCAAGTACCAGTCACGCACTCCCTCCAGAATGGGCAGCGATCTTTCCGCCAAAGATAAAGACACCGGCCTGACCTTGAAGGTCGTCATTCTGCGTGTACGTCACCTGAATGCTCCAAACCAGCGCCGGCCTCGCAGCAACAAAATCTGTAGCCCTCAATTGCTAATATTCGCTCTCGCTCTCTAGGCACGCAATCTAGCTGCGAAAGACCGCAATGGAACATCAGACCCCGTACGTCCAGAGGCCAAAATTGACTTCATACCCCAGACAAACATCTACTGACATGGCCCTCTTCTCAGTACCTCGTCCTCACTCTTGGCGAAGCCAAAGTGGTAACCCACGAAATCCCAAAGACTCTCAACCCAGAATGGAACGTCATTGAAGAAATGCCC